TTTATTTCAACTGATCAGACAGGTGAGGAGTTGATTTTATGGAAGCTAGCCGATAGCGGGATCAGACATATTTATTTCAACTGAGCAGACAGGTGAGGAGTTGATTCTCACCCTTTAACTCAGTACTCAGTTATACTGTTTAAGACGATATATCAGATGATACCAGTAGCTATACAATAAAGCTAGAACCAAAGCTCTCGAACATAAATATAAGGTAACGATGATATCAAACAACGACAGTGCAGCAAATATCTTTGTGCTAACACAAATAACGTCAACGTTGTTCACATTCTGATTATTTTACTTCAAAGCTATTTACTTAGGTGTTTACTGTCAACTTAGGTTTTTACTGTCAACTTAGGTGTTTAGTGTCAACTTAGGTGCTTAATGTCAACTTAGGTTTTTACTGTCAACTGAGGTGTTTACTGTCAACTTAGGTTTTTACCGCCAACTCAAGTGTTTACAAGCAACTTGGGTTTTTACCGACAACTTAAGTACTTACTGTCAACTTAGGTTTTTACTGTCAACTTAAGTGTTTGCTGCACTTCACGTACCAATACGCACCATTTTGTAATTTCTTACTGTTTAACATTCTAAGAGGACCCCATATCTGTTTCGGAGATCAACAGATCACTTGCTTCTGAAACAATAAGCTTTAGGAGCCAAAACCTAAGTAATTAACTATGCATACATAATAATAACAACATATTTACTTTTGTCTGCCCGACGACCCATGAAGTATCCGTCACGACAATGGATCTCCGCTTGAAATATAACGGATGATTAGTTAAAGAATTACAGGATGGTGAAGGTGTGACGAAATATCATCATCCCTAAAGTGGTATTAATAAAACCTTAATTAGACAAAAGATAGCGTTCCTTAATAGTATTTATTACAATATTAAGGGGGCATCCATAAATTCGCACGCACGAAGGGTCGGTTCAAGAAGTGTACACGAGGGGAGGGGGTTTCGATAAAAGCGTACGCAGGGGTTTGAGAGAAGATGAACACCCTTTTTATATTTTTCTGCAGTTTTTGTTTTTTGTTTTTCATAAGCACACTATCTCGCCTTACCTTTTTATTGGCTTCATGTGCTGTATACACATACTTTTAACACATTTTATAACCGAAATATTTTTTTCGCCAAAAACCACTAATGTACTTTTTCTTCGGTGAGATGGGGGTGATAAAAGAGAGAGAGAGTACGTGCATGCAAAATGTACAATTGCATAAAAGAAGGGGGGAGGGAGTAAAAAAGTCAATTTTTTGTATACGAACTTTATGGATTCTCCCTAAGACAGTGATACACATTTAACAATTCAGCTTCTAAAGAATGTTTTATCACGTGGAGTTGCAGATGTAAGTTTCTTTATGGTTCTCTCGGCAATCTCTTGACAAAACCAAAAGGATTTTCACTGCACCAATACAGATGAACTGAAGGAGGTTAATGATTCTTTAACGAGTATTGGCAAAACAGTGAAGCTCTGGTAAAGGCTGAAAAAAATGTAAAACATCTTTAATGCAAGATTTCAACGCGCTGTCGCTACCTTTATAAACAAACTCACTTCCAAAGACAACGCTATTTATCTATATACCGCTAAAACTCTGAGATTGTTTGTTCGTTTGCTTGTCTGTAATTAAATACAGCAAAAACGGCGCATAATAGCGCCATATTTGTAATGAGATGGGAATAGAAACAGAATAAAACAAATTTCGGGCCACGGATTACCGAGTTAGCGCCGTTTTTCGGGTCACTTTTATGAAAAATTTCTAGCATGAGTAATCTTACATCACACT